CACACAGTGTGTGTGGGGGGTGGGGGGGGGGGGGGCTTATGCTACGTGGCAACAATAAGCTCTGAGAAGTGCGTTGGTCCCATCACAGATACCAGCAAATATCCAGCGCTGATCTACTTGAAATGGAGGAGCAGGTGAGGGCTGAAAGGGAAATGTGTTCAGTGGTGCTTCAGTACTGCTGTCTGCACAGAGGCGGCAGAGGAATAGCTCTTGTCATGGTTTCCCCACTGGGAGAGGGGCTGGGCATGTGGGTACTTGGCACTTGCCTCCCATGAGGGATGCAGAAGGGCCTCACCAGGAGCCTCTTGGAACACTGCAGTCCCAGAGCTGTCCCGGCAGCAGAGATAAGGCTGTTCTTTCCAGGGCTGAACTCATCAGAGATCCACGCTACAGCGGTCTCGAATGCTCTGAACTGCCACGGTGGTTTGCAGAGCAGCAAAAGCACCAACTTACTTAGGAAGCATCGGATGGGTCACACACAGCCTTTGATTCCCTGGGACTTTTGCTTCTTAAATACATATCTTGGAGAAGGGTCTCTGGGTCTCAGAGGTGCAGTGGTCAACAGACCCTGTGCATAGGGAAGATACGGTGCTTCCTCCAAGCACTCGGGAACTCCAGCGTGTCAGATACATAACTTACAGCCCCCCACTCTTAATTAGGCTGGTAATGTCACCACCGGGCAGCTCTTTCTTCTGGCGGTGTAACTGTGGCTGTGGATGAAACAGAAAGCGGTGTGCAATGTAATTCTACCCAGGTGACCATTTGACACCACAACATAGATGTACAGTTATTTTCTTTTTGAATTACAAATTCCTTGTATAAGTGATGAGTTAAACAAGCTAACTTCCAGTCTTGTCTCTGCTGCTGTAAACCTGGAGCAGCTCCAAAGCTAGTGGGGCCAAAGAGAATAAGAAACTTCGCATTTTGAAATGACTCAGCTTCTCATTCTGCTGAGATTCAGCCTCAGCAGAAGTAAACTAGAAAAATGATCAAGATGGTATTTCTCAACAGCTTTATTATAAATATAATGGCATCCTTTTTGGTGACTTCTGAGCTGTCTTTTAGCATCATTCATTTATATAATTATGTGACACCTCAGCCACATGTCTGAGGATGAAGAGTGAACCATCTCTGAGCTACCAAATGCTATGAAAACCTAGCAAGTGGAAAAGCCAGATGTCCATCTCATACAGAGAGTGCATGCTTGACAAAACCAGACAGGGAGAGGAAACTGAGAGTGATGCATGTCCCAAAACACACTGTATTGCTTTTCGCCTATATGGACAATTTCTGCTTGTTAGGATGTAACCAGATTAACCTTGCTATTATTGTCCGTCAGGGTGCTGAGTCAGTCGTGTTCCTATGGCTGTGAAAATGTCAGCTATAGGGAATGGGAAGGGCATGGGTTTCTGCAGTGATGGAGGTCCTCAGAGTACCTGAGTTAGAGTGCTGGGGTGCGGCTGTGGTGATTCTTACCCACGGTTTCCAAATGCATCTATTTTAGGCATGAGGAATCTCCTCCATCTGTGTGATTTCAGCTCCTACCTTAACACTGACTTCCTGAGATTTCCCCCTCCCTCCTGCCCTCCTGCCCTTCCAATCTCCTCTCTGGTTCTCCCTCCCCTGCATTTCATCTCAACTGGTTTCCTGCTGGGTAAAATGCACATCCTCCTCTTTCTTCCCATTCCCTCCCTTCTCTCCCACTGTTGGCAGTTTTCCAGTCCAGCAACCTTGACCTTATCTCCAGTTCCTTCTATTTCCTCCCCTTCAGCTAACACTATCGGTGAACTCTGCCCATTTTCCTCTCCTCCATCCTCCAAAGGCTGGCCATGCATCCTGCTGGATATGTTGTCATTTCTTTCCTTGCTGACTACAGTCCCCTCTTTTCTGGCCTCCTTTATGTATGCCTCTGTGCAGGAAGCTGATAGGAGCTTGGCTGAAGCTTTTTTTTGGTGAACCACACTGAAATCAGTGGGAATGAAGCACCTACCCCCCTTTATAAAACTCTGACTCCGTGTGTGTCTGAAAAGAGCCTTTTCTAAGGGTGCAACTGCACAAAAAGCACTAAGTGTAGTGATAAATGTTAAGCCACCCTTAGCAGAGTGGGTATTTTTACGTGTTGCATCCTGCAGTTGCAAAGAACGGGGATGTTGGTGAGATGCTTGCTTGCTCCCCCACTTTCTTCACATGCATGTTTGGCCTTGTGTAGTAACAGTCTCACATGGTGGGGAGGTCTCTGTGACTTGGGGCATAGCGGGCCTGCAGCGTGGTCGTTTGGTGCACTCGCCATTGCTGACGATTGCGCTCAGCGATTTGGACATCTGTTTCAGTTGGCTGGGGGTTTTGGCTTCCAAGCTAAAGGATCATGCCTATTTTAGAGATGACGTCATCTATTACTGAGACTCCAATAGCAAGCTTTGGGTCTACCTCCTTTGTTGCATCCCTCATTCTTTAACATTATTTTTTGTCTTCTTGAGTCAAATTCTCTACCTATGTTCAGGTGGAGCTCAGCTGATTGCCCTTGCCGAATTTCAGCCACTCGTCTGAGAGGGAAAGTGACCCTTTGAGTGTTTTTTCTGTGATATGATATATCCAGTGCATCCCCATGCTTGCAAGATTACTTTTATCGTGTCAGTATGGTGATCAGTTAAGTATGATCAAGCTCTTTAGAAAACATTGCTCTCTAATCATTCTGGTTTAATTTGTATTCTGTAATAATTGTGAGAGTGATTACGATCATGGAAATGCTTTGTAGCTCATTAGTGACTTCAGTTCTGTGAGGAGAAGCTGCCGCTGCCTGTCATACAGGAGACCTCGTGATCTACTCCAGTTCGGTCAGAAAACCGTATTTAAAATGTTGTCAGCAGCAGTGTCCAGCAGAATTCCTTTCACTTTGTTATATTACTCTCAAGTCAGAAGAAATATTCGACGTTAGCCTTTGCTTGGTATTTCCTGTGTTACTTCTAAAGAGGGCCGTGGGGTAAGATCCATATCAAGTATGGTTCACAGCCACAAACTCCTGAATGTTCTGCTTTCAGTTGTCATGATCTTGGTCATTTATGGAAAGAAGGCAGCTTTCACGCTGAAGCCCGAGGAATGATGTGTGTATTGGTGTCTTTGACCTCTGTGGGAGACTGATTCTGGAAGGACTCTGTTGCATTTACCAGCCCTGTGAGAAATTCGTAACGCATTTTGCAGTCTTAAGTTGCAGCTGTAGACTGGTTGGACCCAGTCCCTGGTGCTTCCTCCCCAGCCTCTGCCTTTTCTGTGTGAAGTTATGGACGGGGTGCCTGAGGACATGTCCCCAGTTGGCCACAGCTCCAGCAAGCTGTAACCCTCTGCCAGCAGGTCCAGAACCATGCCCAGCCTGTCAGTGTCTCTTGGTCTCTGTGCTTCAGCAGTCTGTTAAATCTCCTTGGAGAATTATTGTGGAGTTTTCAAGTCTAATTTTCCTTTTTCTGAGATGCCTGCATCTCAGACGTAAGTTTTTGTATTACCAGCAACTCAGTTCATGACGGTCGCTATTATGGGTAAATGGCTGTTGGTCATGACATGGGTTAAGCACAGATCAGTGGCCTAGGCATGAAAGGCTCCATTTTTGTCTGTAGCCTAATGGTTGGCCCATCTTTTTCTTTAATGTATGCACATGAACACTTTTGTTAGTAAAAAGGCCCCCACAAATTAAAACATTTGGAAGAGCGAGAGGTGGTGAAGTACCCCTCCATTAGTCCTCCTTTCTGGCACGACTAGCTTGCTGGTCTTGGCTTAGAAGGCAAAGCGATGAGATGAAGCATAAAACATGCTGTGTTTTTAAACGTGGAAAAGATGAGAATGGAGTGCCTCGTGTGTTGTATGTGAAAGCGTTCCTGTGCTGGTGCTACATGCCGCTCTGCCATCCTAATTTGCTTTCAGAGGCCCCCAGTAAGATCATTCTTTGTGTTGCCTAAAGGATGTGAAGACTAAATACGAGTTTAGTCAATGGTTTCATTGTTGATTTCTCCCACTGCTACAAAGCAATGCACAAATATTAGGGACAGGCAGGGTGCATCTCACTGAATAAAGATATTGTGTCTCTCATAATCCAAGTCGGATGCCTTTAAAAAAGGAAAGCCCTATGAAAAGTGCTTACAAGGCTGTTTGGACAGTAGAAATCTTTTGTAAAGTATAATTTCGGCATCTTTCCCAATGGGACCCTTCGTGCAGAAGAACTGGCCAGCATTTTGGAAATAAACCCAGCCAACATTAGGTTTGGACATCTGCTTGTTTTAAGGTTGCCTTCACAATTTTCTCTGTAGCTGAAGATTGGTACTTGATGTCTGTGTGAAAATGTTGCCAGAAAAGCAATGAAGTTATGCCAACTGTTTCTTTCATGAATGCAGCTTCATAGAAATGACCGCTTTATGCTGGAAGATCATCTTGTTAGCATTGCTCCCTTGGCTAGAAGGATGAGAACTGTTTGATCTTGTCCTTGTAGAAAGTTATCCTAAGTGAGCAAAAAATGTTTCTTGAATCAATTTAACTTTAAACCAGGGTGATCTCCTGCCTGAGTACATCTAGACTGAGTGATGGTAGGCTTAAATGGCATTAAATCAAGTGACTTGTGAGAAAGGGGTAGTGGTGCCTTTTGTCTTTGCAAGTGGCTGAAGGGGATTGAATTTGAGAGAAGCTAGTGCTCAAATTTTCTGGGTATTTTCTTCCTCCTTGCTTAAATCACCCAAAGGGAATTAAAGCATATCTTCTCTTACTTCGACAGGGACCAGCTCGCATGACATCTGATCTTGCATCTTCTCCTGCAGCAGGATATGTCCCTGTTGGTCAGAAACCAGAAGCTGTTGTGCATGCCATGAAGGTAAGGATGCCACACACAGCCGTGCAGCGCGGTGTGGTGTCATGCAACAAACACCAAAGTGGCAGAACTGGACGTTTGCTCTTGTGGAAACACAACAACTGGAAACAGAAAGTCAGTACTCAGGCAGATTATCAGTAACCAGCACATGTATCATGATGAATAATCATTGCTTCAAATAGTTGCAGAGTTAAGCAAGATCATGCATGACTATTTATTTGGGTGGAAACCTCCAACACAAGCTGCTGATGCTGAAGGTGGTGGTTACCCTTTCTGTTCATCAGTCCTGCATAAACTGGGTCTCTGGGGTGACAGCGGTGATCGAAATGCTGTTTTTAAAAGGGACACAAAAACTGTGATTGCTACATATGTTTTGGTATTGAAAATCCTGCAGCAGTCTTCTTAAAGGAGAAAGACTTTATTTTATGTAAATACACAGAAAACCATGGCATCATACCCATGTAGATATGTGCATCATCAGCGGGGATTAAAGTCAGGACTGTCGGCAATAAAAAACATAGGACACTGCTAGCTGAGTTAAAGGAGAAAACTTGCACTGCGATTTCACGGCAGTTCTAAAGTCCTAGTGACCATCCATTAGCAGGAAAAACGTAATACCCTGGTGTTACATGTTTAACTAGTTAAGCAAGTGACTTCTGAGTATCTACGGGACACAGAAGCACAAATCCTTTCCAAGGTGCCATAGGGATGGCTGGAAAGTCTCTAACTAAATTAGGCGCTGGTTGGAATTTACTGATTTATAGATTCGAATTTGTTGAAGCTGAAGAATTTTGTACAGGGTTAAAAAGCTTTCATCAAATCAAAGGAGGATTCTGGGATGGCTACTCTGGAGCTCAGCTCCCCATGGTCATAGCTGGAAAAAAGGTCCAGCAGTGGCATCAGCACTAGCTTAGACTGTCCTAGACCTGGAGACTGGTGCTTACAAAGCTCTTTGCTTTGTACGTTTCCACATCTGACAGCTAAATAAATGGCACAGATGTTGCTTGCAGCTTTGAGCTTTCAGCTTACTTGAGGCTTTATACGCCCAGATTGTATCTCATTGGATCTTAAGAGAAGGGTGTCCAGCACCGTCAAGGATTAAAAAATACCTTTAGTACAGTTTTCATTAGTTCCCAAAGGAGCCCTGACCACACAAGTGGCAGTTCACTTGCCTACATATATTTGTCCTGTGTTTTCCAGAAAAGTTTCTTCTTTGCTTGCTGTGAATGGTTCTGTTGTTGTGTGCTATTCTGTACTATCCTGTGTTGTGTGCATCCTGTACTGTGCTGCATTGCGCTTGTGGGTAACATTTCTCCAGAAGGGCTGGAAGGAATTCTCCTCTGCAGTTTCATAATTTGGCTGGTGGGGTATGTTTGTCTGTCTTCAAAACCCTGGAAGGTGCCACGGCTGGGTCAGGAAGCAGGTGGCATAGCAGTCACATCTCATGGGGCATAAAATGATCTCACACGATGTGTCCTGCTCACACACTTAGAGTTAAAAATATTCTCACATTTGAAGCGAGGAGGAAATTCTCCTGTAGGTCAGTGTGGCAGGGAAGGATGAAAAGGTGTTTATTTTTTCATCCTGTGGCCCATTTCCAAGGATCAGCTGGAAATGGAAAAGACTGAGCAAACTGGTCATGGTCTCAATCTCTCCTCCTCTCTTCTTGTGGCACAGTGAAATTGTGGCTGTTGGTCTCCAGCTGCGGATCTTAAACTGGCTAGAAGATAATGTTTTTTGGCCATGGCATGCTGTAGCATATGGAGTAGGTCTTATTTGCACCCTGCAGGACTGGGCAGTTTTTCCAGTGCCAGCCCCTGCATGTGGGAAACTGGATGCAGCTACCAGCTTAGACCCTCACTGCCTGTGGTACAGCTCATGACCCTCCCTTGAGGAGAAGAAGAAGTAGCCTACAAACAAGACTTTGTGCTTTGGCTATAGCACACCAGATATTAGAAAAAGCCCTTCTTGGTTGTGTAAAGAAGTCCTTATGGCTGTAGCAGGCTAGTTCCTTACCACGAGGAAAGGCAAGGACAGTTGGAAGTTGGCTTTGCTTGTCTTGTGGGCTGCTTGAACGCAAGTCTGCCCAGAAGTGGTGTGGCTGCAAGGATGCGGCTCTGTGCCCAAGCAAAGGTCACTGAGGGGCTGTGTACTCTGCATGGAACTGCAGGGCTTCTGGATTGCCTTTGTCTGCGACCATCTATGTAATGTCCCCTAGGCTTTTTCCTTGGCTTTTTCCGGCAGCTGAACGCTAGCTATGTGGCTGAAGTGTTGCCTGCCATTTAGCATAAGTAAGTTCTTCCTTGAGCACATTTAGGGATTTTCTTTATTTTTGCTTCTGAAATAGTTTTTTTTTATTTGCACCTACTAAATAAGGAGCAAGATGACAGGTTGGCACTCCTAACAGCTGTTTTTGTTAACGAGAGTAAAAGGTACATATGCTACAGCTCAGTATCTCGCTGAACATCAAAGCACTTTTCTTAGGAACTGAGCAAACCTGCTAAAGACGTGGGGAGGTGAGGAGGAGACAAACGTACAAGAACGACATTTAGCCTATAACCCAGCCCCCCCGCAGCAGCAGCCCGGACCTCTCCCATGTGCGCAGAGCCATCGAGCAGGTGATCAATCACTCCCACTGATGTTGGATAAGGCAGGATTTGGCCCTGCCAAAACTAGGGAAAAGTCCTAGCAGGGCATATAGACTGTTCCCTTGCAGAAGCAGGATGCCATGTTCCCCAGCACTCCAGCCCCATTCCAGTTGACGTATAAATCAACAAAATCAGTGAGGCTTGCACCCTTCAGAAAGCATCCCTCAATCTCAGAGTGCTTCCTGGTACAGAAATGCTTACCTCAACTTTCAGCTCCCCTTCCAAAGCTTTACTGCAGTCATCCCGACTCTTTGGTGGGCGTTTTTTGTTTGTTTTTTAAATATGCATTGCGTGGTTATGCAGGGCCAGTATAGCAAGTCAACAGGGAGGTGGATGTGATGGACTGGGTGACTTTGAGGTGACACTGCCTTGGTCACAGACGTCAGTGCAGTCATGAAGGAGAACTAAATATACCCGAGGTGTTCCTCACAGTTTACATATCGGCAGGGAGAAAGCCAGACGAGCCAGTGTGCTCATTGAGAGTGAGGCCCAGGTTGTCTTCAGGAGATGGCATCCCCAGGCAGAAGAGCAGTGTTACCCAGTCCAGCCCCATTCCCCTGCATGGGGAACTGCCCCATGCCTGAGCGGGGCAGGCTTCCCTCGCTGGCTGGCGTTTTACCCAGGGAGATCACATAGTGCCGGTGTGTCTGCAAAGGGCCAAGTGCTGTCAGTGCAGCCTGATGAAGAATAAAAAGGAGGGGATGGCTTGAGCTGCTTTGAGCCCAGGGTACACTTGTCTGTTTTCTGTAGGCTCCTGGGTTGGGATGTGGCAGAAATCATGGGAGGATATACCCCAGTTTCTTAGATCCACACTGAATTCACAGTCCTTGAACTTCAGCTGGGCCACAGACAATTTATGCGAAGGCACATCCATAGTCCCCAGCAGTGTAATCGGAGGAACATTAACTTGGTCCTCCCAAACAACTGAGGTGGTGCCTGGCAGGATCTGAGAATGACTGGGGCTGGATCAGCACTAAGAGGCCTTCCTGTCTTCCTTCAGGAGGTAATTTCACTCTCCAGAGTCTATTTTTTTCCAGGATGCCTTTCCAGGATAGGCTGTTGAGTTTTATCCCCCCCGAACCCCTTCTTCCCATACCCAAGACACTAACACATCTTTACATAGTGCCTACCCAGACGTGGGGTGGGCCTGGGGAGCAGGATGGTTTCCAGGGTAAATGAGTCCCAAGTCATTTAGAAATGAAATACAACCATAACTTCCATCTGCTGAGCTTTCAGCTCCAGGTCTCTCTGGTTTACACCATTCAAAGACATTTCCACTGAAAGAAATGGGCTGCGCCACCCTTCCACACCTCCTGGAGTAAGGAATGTGGTTTTAGTTTAAGCACTAGCTGTAGAAAAAAGGTTTATTTTTGTCTGCTGAGACTCTTGTGCCTGCAAGATTGATGGCTGGTGGAAGCAGAGGCTGGAGCTGATGTGGCCTTTAACTAATCTGAACCGTGGTTATCCTTGACACTTGCCCTGTGGACACAGCCGCTGCTTCGCTGCCAGCCAGGCAGCCCTGGCGCTCTGCAGGGGGATGTGATCCTGCAGGCTGCTGCCTTTGCAGCCAGGCGTCGGAGGCACACTGACTCCAGACGAGCGAGTTCGATGTGCAAGTCCAGCTGGATCAATAATTAATTCCCTCCTCTTTAGCAAAAAACAGACGCTCTCTTTGTCAGCACGTACATGCTTTTTGCATCCCTCTTGCCCTTCCTCTCCTCTTAGAAAGGACGCGGATAATTCTTATTTGTGCAAAGATTGGTCCCAGCTATGTTGGTTAAACTAGCTGGTGCATTTTAGAAGTAGGTTAAGGGCCCTAGGAGAATGACCTATTTTTGTTTGCAACGCAGTTCAAGTACAGCAGGATTGCTGTGCCGAGGCAGACTGGGGGATAATCTACCCTGGTATCCCATTTCGTGGAGCAGCCGGTGCTGTATACCTCAGCAAAGGGTGAAACCCATCCTGGCACTGCATCTAGCTCTGTACTTCCCTAGGAGGTGTAGGAATATTTATACACACAAATACACCTGGTGTACAGCTTTATATGCGTGTGGATGTATTGGGGTGAATAAGACCACGTGCTATTTGATGGCGTTGAGTGATTCCAGGAGCTTTGACCCTGCGCACTGAGCTGACCACCTTGCTCATCAGTGGCAAAGCCCTGGGTGAGGTCTGTAGGTCAGCACAGATGCAGCAGTAACATCTCAAGGCAGTCCTGCGCTGTGATATGCCCAACTTGTGCAACATGCCCGTCCGGAGGAGCTGTCTGAAAGCATGCGGATGCGTTGGAGAGGATATTCTGTGGGTCAGTGTGTTTCCAGTGGGAAGCAAAGGCTGCCTTTAGCCCCTGGCAGCCTCATCTCTGTGATGGAGGGACCGCCTGGCTGCAGCCAGGCACTGCCGCCCTGGCGGTGCTCTGCGGGGGTGGCCGGGACGGTGCGTGCCCCAGGCGGGACGTGGGGGGCCAGGGCTGGCGCCCAGCTGCTACGTTGGTGCGGGGCTGGGCAGCACGTGGTGGGACACAGCAACTGCGTGGATGTGCTGCATCTTACCAGCCATGTGTGGCCTGGGGATCAGCGCTTGGGGAATATGTCTCCAAGTGCTATTTAGAAGGAAGAGGTTAAAAATCAGACTTTTTCAATTTTCAAACATTGTCAGCCTGAAATCTAAGAAAAGAAGTCACAGGCAGGATGTTTCCACTATTTTTTTGCAGTGTCCTGAGCTGCTTTCACAGCGCATCTACTTGTCTTCCCAAGGCAAATCTGCAAGCGTGGCCCAGCCATCAGGCTGAGTGGCGTCCAGGGGGCCCATGAACACGAGCACTGGATGTGCCAGGTCTGGGGTGTCAGTGCTGGAGCTGTAACCTCTCTGTCTCTGCAAGGAAACCTGGCTCTTCCCAGATCCGGGAGCGCCTGCTGGAGATACCCTCCGAGCCGCAGAGCAGAGCCTCCTTGGAGAGTCTCAAACCTCCCAGCCCCCTCTTTCAAGCTATTCCTATGCTTTTGCAGCCACGTCTCCATTTTTTGCAGTGCTTTCCTCCCGTTAATATCATAGGAAAAGCCCCGTAGTCATGAGCAGGAGGGAAAGGAAAGACGATGCCTCGGGGTGCTGCAGGCATGTACCTGGGCTCACTGCCTGTAGCCAGGCGTGAGAGGAAAGGCAGCAGAACGGAGCTGCTTGTGGAGGACCAGGCAGGCCTGGCCCCAGTGCTTTCCTCCCGTTAATATCATAGGAAAAGCCCCGTAGTCATGAGCAGGAGGGAAAGGAAAGACGATGCCTCACACCTCCAGAAACTCCCGCGGGCGGGGTGCTGCAGGCATGTACCTGGGCTCGCTGCCTGTAGCCAGGCGTGAGAGGAAAGGCAGCAGAACGGAGCTGCTTGTGGAGGACCAGGCAGGCCTGGCCCCAGCACTTTGTGGGTATGGCCCGTATTCATCAGCGTTTGTACCAGCTGAACTCGGTGAGCAGCCGGTAAATGTTACCCTGTAGCTGTGGCTGCAATCCCGGGTGCGGGTGTGTGTGCCAGCCCTGGCCAGGGGCCACCTATTCCCTCACCTTTACGGGGCACACGCTGTGAGTGGGAACAGTGCTGATGGAGATTAAAGTAAAGCTGGGGGAGTCGAGGTGATTATCTCCATCTTCAGAGTGCGTCTGTGGCACAAGGAGAGGGTGATCCAGATTCGTCACAGCACTCAGCACTCGGTGAGGACGGCGCCTTCAGAGGACTGCAATCCGCATGCGGGGTCCTGGGAGGCAATATTTTTTTTCCCAGTCCTGTTCCCATCCCCTTCGCAGCCTGGCTGCATCCAGCTCAAAGAGGGAGTGGGTAAGAGCCAGGAATCAAATTGGGATCTGAGTCCCAGGGCTCTGTGCTAACAGCCCGTCTCTTGCTCACTGTCATCGTGGGCCTCCAAGGGGTTCCCTTGAGAAACTAAATGGGTTAAAAACAATTTTCAGCCAAAAGGTGAGTGAAATTGGCCGTGTCTGTTTAAGATCTGAAAGTCCATGGCTGATTGGAGACCACACACTTAAGCTGCACAGTGGGTAATACTCTGCTTTTCAGTGGTACAAACCTCTGTTTGCCTCTTTCTCTGATGGCTAAAACCCTCTTAGACCTAAAAGCTGCTGGTCTGGGCTGGCCACAGTTGCCTCATGACCCAGGTTAGTAGAAGGCAGTGGAGAAGCTCCGCTCCTGCGAAAGAGGGGAATGGAGGGAGCATGAGCTGCTGGGGGATTGCCTTGGGGGAGCTGCCTGGAAGGGGGGGGCACCAGCAGCCTTCCTGGAAGAGATGTGTTTGTGGGTACAGGCAACTTGCTGCCAATTATCACACGGTCGCCCAGGACTGTGGTGGCAGCCACGCCATGCAGGTGGTGGGACAGAGGCATGCCGTCACCAGCGAAGGGGGAGGATGGAGGTGCCCGACTTGGTGTCATGCTCGTCTTTGCAGTGCTCCAACTGTCAAGGCTTTGTGAATCCTGCCAATTTAAATAGTGGTTAATGAGGTTGTTAGGGACACTTAATTATTTGAGGGGCATAATGCTTTTATAATATCGTTTTTTGTAGGTCCTTGAGGTCCATGAAAATTTGGACAGGCAAATGCAAGACAACTATGAAGAAGACCTGAGTGAAAAGGAGAAGGCGATCGTTCGTGAAATGTGCAATGTAATAACTCCTCTCAGCAACTCTAGGGGTTTATTTCCTGGTCTTCTGTTAGAAGTACAGAGGAGCAGGGGTCTGCTGCGTACAGGCCCTGTTTGATGCGAGATCCCCAGGCACAAAGGAGGAGTGGAGGCTCTGCTGACCACTGCTTTGGGTGTCAGTAACCCGAGTGCCCTGCTCACTGAACAGCTCAGCTTTGGCTCAGCAAATACTTCCCACTCTGCTGCCTTCAAGGGTGCAGAGTAGCTAGTCTGGCTGACCGAGAGCGGTGCAAAGGGCTCTCCCTGGCTTGTAGAGTCCTGTTAGCAGTTGACTCCAACTGTGTCCTTAGGGACTTGGTTTGGGCTGAGCAGCAACTGGTTGCTATCTTTAAAGCTATACAGCTTGAATGGGTTTAAGCCTAAACCATAAGACAACATGAGAGAGAGAATATTCGTGTCCGAAGCCCTTGAACAGCGCTATGGTGTGCGGGGTGCTTTTAGCACTGCCGACATGTTGGGCAGCCACACTGTTAACTGAGCTTGCCGGGTCCTGTACGGTGAGCGTTTGGACCAGACCTCTGCTCTGCGGTGTCTGCTGCTGTGGCACTGCCTCCAGCTTCAAAGCACCTTGGCCGCACTTTGGCTTTGAGCAAAGAGTTTGGGATTTCTGCTAGAACATGGCTCAAGCTGCATGTCGCCTGCAGTCGGGGATGTGCTGCTCCACAGCACCAGCAGTGCCCGCAGCAGGGAGAAGGATGCTTATGGAGCCTTCTCCTTTAGGAGTCCACACTGGAGGTCAGCCCAAGTGGCATCGTTTAGTGCCTCACAGCAGCAGAGAGGAGCCTAACCTTACGTTTGAATTCTGAAAACCACCTCAACCCTAAAAAGAGGGTGTAAAGAACACAAGTGCATCTTGCAGAGCTGAATCATTGCAAGCATCCTTGGCAAGGGCTGAGGCACTGCACTTTGGTTGCTGGAGCCCTATGAGCAAAGCCAAGACCAGAGTGAAGGAGGGCCTGCTTTTTAGGATATTTTGTCTGCTTAGAGCCACATTCCCTTGTAGCCATGCAGGGAGAAGGGTAAGGCACCGTAATTTTGTCCTCCCAAATGGACTCATTTCTGTTTGTGTCTCATCAGCTGTTTTTTCTTTAAATATTCATTTCATGTAGACTCAAGGCAGCTATGAAGTGCTTTCCAGTTTCTTATTAAAAAACAAAAAAAAAAGCCTCCCTTACCCCAGTGGCCCTAGAGTGATAAAATGTATGTTTTTAGAAAGTCATAAATATATATATGTATATAATTTTAATCATTATCTTTTTCATTATCTTTTCTGTTCATGGTAACATCATTTCTGTAAGCATGGCATGGCTGACCTACCATTGAACTTAACTTCTGAACCTAGTGTATTTATTTTATACTATCACCCCAGGCAAAAATGGTTCTAATTTCCAGACAGACTAATTAGGAAAATGCGTCAATGGTTTTTCCCTTGGAAACTGGTGCACTGATGCCATCCAGTGGCTCTGCTGAGAATTACAGCCCAGCTCTAGGAAACAGCTGCTTGTTTGACTTTCGACTGCAATTACGAAAATACTGCAGCTCATCGGAGGCTTTGGGTTTTTTGGTTTTTTTTTTTAATCCCTGTCTCTCTCTCCCCCACCCCTTTATTTTTTCCTTACAGGTTGTCTGGCGAAAGCTGGGTGATGCGGCGAGCTCCAAACCCTCCATCAGGCAACATCTTTCGGGAAACCAGTTCAAGGGTCCCTTGTAGGAGCACCGTCCTGGAGGCTGGAAGTGGTGGATTCTGTGAAGACTAAAGAGGCAGAGCTCAGCGTTTCTGGCTGCCTGTTCTTTGGGAGTTGGGGTTGAGTTTTTTTCAGGGTTTCCTTTTATTTTTTTGGGGGGGCTTTTTTTGTAACAATAGTGTAAATATGGCAGCTAAAGGCCTGATTTCCAGGCTGTGGTGCTCTGGAACTGCTGTTCAACGGGTAACCATCCAACAATGCCAGACTTGCATCATTTGTATTGTAGTTCAAACCTGCTTTGTGGTAATGGTCTGTTTGTAGAATTAACTGACTCGAGAGAATTTCTAAGAGGAACAAGAAGGACCCTTAACCTGCGGAGAAGTCAGTTTGTATCGCTCCGGTCCACCTGCTTGTCAATGATTCATAGCTGGGTTAGTGGCTCCAGGCAGCACCTTCCAAGGAAAGAGCAATTTGAATTTGTTGGCTTACTGCCTGAGCTGCTAACGCTTTTTTTGGAGGTCCTTATTTTGAAGAATAACATGCAACGGTTTTCCCGAGGCGCTGTGTACAATATTGAGTGGCGAGCCGAAAGCACTGGTACCGCTCTGTACGTTGTACGGTGGTACTCATCACACAAGCGTACAGAAAGGCTTGAGACTCCGTATCAGCTGGTAATGAACTATTTCTCATGAACAAATGACACAAGGTTTCTGCAGTCGTAATGTGAATGAACTGAAGTCACTTAGCCACACACCAGTATTCCCTACAAATATGGCAACACTTTTCCTGTAAAGCTTTTACTACAAAATAATTCAGCAGAAACTGCCGTCCTAACAGTGCTTATGGCTTTCACAGGATCTTCGAGAGCAGCTCATCTTTCACGTGAGGAAGATTTGGGTATTTTTTTTTTAATGTTCTTGCTGGATCCTTCACCTATACTGGTTCCTGTGTAAGGTAACCAACCAACCACCTTGCAGAGCTGAATAAAATCTCCATAAACACGGGCTGTCGGGTGAGACTATTTCCTGCCATTCAAGCTTTATTTTTGTTAATGAACCAAAACAAGTGGGTTTTTCCTTCTTCTAATGGTTGTATATAAAACAATGGGACTTATATTTCGCTATTGTGGAGTAGCTGCTTGTATCGTAAGAATCTGACCCCCTTCTTTTCCAAGTTGTCACAGCAGCTGTCCCTGTATTTTATTAGATGTTCTTTCCCAGTAGACCAAGGAAGCGGGGATTGGTTATTAAAATAATTGGTGTAAAATGATTTTAAAGACAGGCATGTGAAAAGATCAAAGCCTCCTCTTCAAAAGTTGCATCGATTTTAATGATTAGTTTGAAGAGTTAATGACCTCAAACACCATCACTTTCTTTTCATTCTCCATAAGAATCCGTCCCAGCTACAGGCAGCTGTTCTTCCTCTTAAATTAATTTGCTCTACCAGTTGAGGTCTTGACTTGTGGTGGTGTATTAACGTGGAGCACCGATACAATTCGAAGGAGCCCACGCTGCAAGGTATGAACGGTAATTGGTCCCATGGTATACAGTGATCTAGCTGCCTGCGTGAAGGATTTCGAGTGTCAGAGCCAAGCTCCGTAAGCAGCAAAAAACCAGAGAAGGAATACATCCCAAATACATAGTAACCAGTAAGAGTAAGCACCGCTTCAGTATTCATTGCAGAAATAAAACTGTAACAGTCAAGAGGAGTAGGTTATTTGGAAAAAAACCCCAAGAACCACCCCCCACACACACACACACACACACACACACACACACACACACACACACACACACTCACCAGCAGTTTATTTCTTACTTCTGCTCAGTCAGCGAACGCTGAGCAAGCTAACTCTAACAGTATTTACAGCCAGTGAGTCTGGGAAAATCCATTCGAGAGTCTCTCTCCTTTAAAATAGGCACCTTTAGAGGATTCCAGATCTCCTCCTCTTTGCTTTTTGTTTTGACCTCCAGTTTCTAGTCACCACTGATTAGTTGTCTTCCTCCTGTACAATTTGTACCTTGAGATTTTCGTACCAGCAAAGGTGATGCAACACAGAGGCATCATTCTTCCATAACATCTAATGTCGAACAGAGGGTTACTTTAATCTATCTGCTTGAAAGCCCATTTTCATTTCGGTGACATCTAATCGCTGGATTAAGCAGAGAATTTAAGCATATTGGGAACAAGGTTAATTTACGTCAGTGAATTTTAACTAAAGCAATGCCAATGTTGCCAGCACTTGTAGAGAGTTAATTGTGTTGATGACGTGCTTGCTGTTTTAGGCGTGTATTAGACTAGCAGGTCCGCTCAACAAGACAAGAGCTATACTAATCAGATTAGTAGTCTCACCAGCTATGTAATTCTCATTCAAATATTCCCTGCTATCAAATCTCTCTCAAAATGTATTCAATGACTTCAAGCACAGCTTGTTTTGTTCCACCTGCAGATCTCACCTAGAAGAGAAATAGCGGTGCAACTAAGGTCCATTAGTGCTGCACATCCTGGAGAGCCGGGGTACAGGGTGGCCCGTAGGTCAGCCGAACAGTCTCGGTACTCTTAGGGTATACCCTGTTTCTTTAAGATGCTATTTGGCAGCATGAATCTTCAATGTAAGATGTGCATCATTGACTTTGCAGAAGGGGGGCTTGCTACTCTTCATACTTAGCTCCATTTGAGCTATAAAGTGTCTTCCTGAGGTAAAATGACACTCAATGACTTTACAGGATGACTTGGGTGCTGAACTTTCAGTTGTCTAAAAGATGTTTTATATGCATATTTAAATTCACTTATCTATGCGCCAAGTCTTCAGTGAAAACTGCCTGAGGAGCTTTGTACATTAAGTCGGAGGGGAGCATCCCTTGAAATAGCAGCCATTAAACTGAGATATGTGGGGCAATAGTCCAAGTTAATTTCCTCAAGATTGAAGCCCTGGGTTCTGCAATCCTCTGGCAAAGAAAGCATCCACTGTTTACAAACGGACTTTGCTTGCTTAAGGAAAGTAAGATCACATCCTTGACTTTTGTTGGAGTGACTGAAGTGAGTGGCATTTCCATAAAAGTTTCTGAAATGCCGCAGCGTAACCAGCTTCAGTTGGCTCTTTGCACCTTGATAAGACTGCTGAGCACAACCTTGTTTGAGAATGGCACATTTTTATCCAAATATTAGATATTAAAAGAAATCAGTGTTAAAGTGACCTTTTATCTTTTTAGAAACCCTGGGGGAAGAGTACTACTGATCTTTTTCAAAGTGCATGACTGTAAAGTGATAAAATTGTATATTTTTCATAATGTGGGGAAAGTCTATTTGTGCTGCTTTAGAAATCAGTTTAAAGTTTGATTTCTGTTAAACATGTGATCTTACAGCCCTGCTATATTTTCTGTATATGATTTACAAAGAACTGGAAAAGTTAGCACCTGCTGTTGTGTATATAGCGAAATTCTTTAGACCTTCGCACGCGTTTTTACCTATTATTGAACCACTCTGGCTTTTTTGGGGAGGGAAAGTAATAGTACAGATTTTTTTGATAATGTGTGTAAAACATTCATTTGAAATATTTTAGTAAAAATGAAGTAAGAGATTGATTGTGATAGTGTATACTTCTAGTTGAATAAAATAAAACACATTCTTTTTAAATAAACTGATGAGTAAGATTTGGGAGACCACTGCTGAAATACCTTGCAGTAAGTACCATAGTTATGAATTCTGAACTAATATGAAAAACCTGGAAATCCAGTAAATTCAGAACCAATTTTATTTGGGTAGATGTGAACAAAGTAGTCCCATTTATAACCAGGATGTACATCACAGTAGGTTGTTACATTCAGACTTTCACACTTAGAAAATATATATATTATGTACAGGAATTTCCAAATAGGTGTAAACATACAATACTTTAAGATACCAGTACATTCCAAAACAAAAATATCAGCAAGGCAAACATCTCAAAATGATCCCAGTCAGCTAGCGTTCAGAATCTCTCTTAAATAAAGTAGCTTTTATGCTTGACATCGTGTTGTTTTAATTATTACTAAAAATGAAGTCTCTTACTATAGATCAAATTTCATGGTATCTGGCTATTTTGATACTCAAAAATAGGCACTGATTTCTAGAAGGAAATTTTCTTCTTACTGATATAATTGAGCCAATATGGCTGGTTTTGCTAGTACAAAGTAATCCAGTGCTGGAATAACTCAAGACAATTTAAACTTAAGTCAAATGTATAAAGTTAGAATAGATACTGCAAAGCTGAGTAAAATCTAGAAGCCTATATAACTCACCATAAACAATACTGCAAACAGATCAGCTAAATTTTCATTTCACCTCCTCATTTCTTCATCTAAATTATACAAATTACCCTTCTCTTCATCTTTACACAGTAGGTTTTGGCTAGCTACTCCTGCCTAATCAACATAAAGGGATATCGTGCAAATTACCTCATGCTATCTCATCCACGTAGCACGTCCAAGTCCTGCTACAGGTGGCATACCGGGCGGTGGAATTGGAGGTGGTACAGGTGGCTGTCCACCTGGGGGAACAGTAGGCGGGGGGTAACTAGCTGGTGGCATTCCCAGCCCTGGAGGTGGATGAGGTGGTACTGCATGAGTTGGAGGCAGTCTTGGAGGTGGGAAATTAGGGTTGTATGTAGGTGGAGGAGGATATCCAGGAGTAGGAGGTGGAATATTGGGCGGGGGGAATGAAGTAGGGGGTGGAGGTGGAACTGGTGGTGGAGGGTTGGGAGGATAGACATGAGGATGATATGGTAGATGAGTTGGTGGTCCATAGGCCGGTGGTAAAGCTCCATAAGTTGGTCCTTCTGTTTTCATCATGGACTGAAGACTTTGATAACCCTCCCCTGACATGTAAGAATTCGTAGTAGACATCCCTGTAATATAACTGGTGGGGGGTGGGGGTGGGGGACGATGCGGCAGAGGTGGAGGTTGATGTACTGGGGCAGGATGAGCAGGGGGAGGAATCTGGACCTTTGGCATATCTACTGAGTCCACAGTAGTAGATTGCTCTGCTT